TATTGTTTTAATAAAAACCACTGTATTTATGGCCAAAAATTAAAGTACTCATGGTGAAAGATATGACCATCTAAAATCACTTGCCATACTGCACATGGTCTTTTAATTTTGAATTGTACAGTGTATATTTAGTATTACATACAGGGTGGTCCAAAAAATGGGACACTCGTATTTCAAAAAATTGAGGGCTATAATTGATCATAATGATGGACATATTGACCGTCTGTTTGTGTAAAGTTGACAAAAAACTTGTTTTTTGCAAGTTTTGGAAAACCCGTTTTGAAACTAAAATGACGTCATTTATATAACGGATGCTGGTTGACAGACATTATAATAAATTTCAGAATATCACTGATTATGAAAGAAATAAAGCACACGTACAAAAGTTCCTTACTCAGTCAAAGATTAGTAAAATAATATACTGGGAATTTGTTCAGAATTTAGAAAAGAATTCAAAATATATAGAAGGATGGAATAAAGATCTGAATTTGTCACTTAATCAAAATGATTGGAAGAAGATAAATAAAATTAACAAACTGAGTAACTATGAACCTAAGTTATCATCCTTCACTTATAAAGTCCTTCACAGATTTTTAGCAACTAATACATACCTAAAAATGTGTGGACTCGTAGAGTCAAACATTTGCACTTTTTGTAAAGCAAATCCTGAAACGATTTGCCATCTTCTGTATGAATGTACTATTGTAAGTGCCGTATTAAATGACATTAAACAATGGCTTCCTTTAGAGCTCACATTGCTATGCACTAAACAAAATGTATTGATAGGACCTGAGAGTATAAATGAGAAGACAATCATCTTAAATAATATGCTATGTATTTTTAAAAGGTATGTTTATTTGTGCAAATATTCTATGCTAAAACCAACACTTAAAGGTTTTATAAGTAATGTTAAGGAATATTTTATTATGGACAAACGGGTTGGCAGAGGCGATAAGTGGAAAATCATGGAAACAAAATTAAACAAATGAAACTGATGATTTTTTCCTTTAAATAAATAAAAAAATGCCAATGGTATAACGTCTCTTGAGACAAAATATTTAACCACTGTACTGTATTGTAAAATTGTTAAATGTAGGTTTACCATGTAACTGTACTGTAATTGTTTTTTGTAATTGTTTTTTGCAATTGCTTTAACATGCTTATTCTTTGAAATAAAAAAATTATTAAAAAAAAGGAAAAAAAGATCAGTAAATTCCCTATCCACTGGTATATAATATGACATGTTTTCATCAAGAAAATCAATATTTATTTTTGAAATATGAGTGTCCCATTTTTTGGACCACCCTGTATATCCTTCTTGTAAGCCCATTGCCATCTTGACACGGTTCCTGTAACAAATAGCCAACTACCGATGCCAAGGTTAAACTGTGAAAAGGTTTTAGCAAGGTCGAAATGGAGCAATTAGAGTCTAATTCATATCTAGTAGGCTGTATATTTCAAGACTTATAAGTAAGTATAGAAACATACACAAAGTTGCTAAAGATTGTCTCCTTTCTGGGGAATCTAGCATATTATATGTAAAACATGATAATAATGATAAGATTAAACGAGAGACACTGTCTGTGATATATTGATATATGTTTTACATTGTATATTCCACATTAAGGTTTTCCCATGTAAAAGCAGTTTAATATAATCTGGGAACATAATATTTTTAAGTTAAATATTTAAACTGAGTTTACTATATCTACATGTTCAGCTTCAAATAAACATGTTCAGTTTAATATCTACATGTTCAGTTTAATGTAAACATGTTCTGTTTAATGTCATCATGTTCAGTTTAATATCTACATTTTCAATTTCATGTGAACATGTTCTGTTTAATATCTACATGTTCAGTTTAATATCTACATGTTCAGTTTCATGTTAACATGTTCTGTGTAATGTAAACATGTTCGGTTTAATATCTACATGTTCAGTTTAATATCTACATGTTCAGTTTCATGTTAACATGTTCTGTGTAATGTAAACATGTTCGGTTTAATATCTACATGTTCAGCTTCATGTAAACATGTTCAGTTTTTTATCTACATGTTCAGCTTCATGTAAACATGTTCAATTTAATATATACATGTTCTGTGTAATGTAAACATGTTCAGTTCAATATCTACATGTTCAGTTTCATGTAAACATGTTCGGTTTAATATCTACATGTTCAGCTTCATGTAAACATGTTCAGTTTAATATCTACATGTTCAGCTTCATGTAAACATGTTCAGTTTAATATCTACATGTTCAGCTTCATGTAAACATGTTCAGTTTAATATCTACATGTTCAGCTTCATGTAAACATGTTCAGTTTAATATCTACATGTTCAGTTTCATGTACACATGTTCAGTTTAATATCTACATGTTCAGCTTCATGTAAACATGTTCAGTTTAATAACTACATGTTCAGCTTCATGTAAACATGTTCAGTTTAATATCTACATGTTCAGCTTCATGTAAACATGTTCAGTTTAATATCTACATGTTCAGTTTCATGTAAACATGTTCAGTTTAATATCTACATGTTCAGTTTAATATCTACATGTTCAGCTTCATGTAAACATGTTCAGTTTAATATCTACATGTTCAGTTTAATATCTACATGTTCAGCTTCATGTAAACATGTTCAGTTTAATATTTACATGTTCAGCTCCTTGTAAACATGTTCAGTTTAATATCTACATGTTCAGCTTCTTGTACACATGTTCAGTTTAATATCTACATGTTCAGCTTCATGTAAACATGTTCAGTTTAATATCTACATGTTCAGCTATATGTAAACATGTTCAGTTTAATGTCATCATGTTCAGTTTAATATCTACATGTTCAGTTACATGTAAACATGTTCAGTTTAATATCTACATGTTCAGCTTCATGTAAACATGTTCAGTTTAATATCTACATGTTCAGTTTCATGTAAACATGTTCAGTATAATATCTACATGTTCAGTTTCATGTAAACATGTTCAGCTTCTTGTAAACATGTTCAGTTTAATATCTACATGTTCAGTTTCTTGTAAACATGTTCAGTTTAATATCTACATGTTCAGTTTCATGTAAACATGTTTAGTTTAATATCTACATGTTCAGCTTTATGTAAACATGTTCAGTTTAATATCTACATGTTCAGCTTCATGTAAACATGTTCAGTTTAATATCTACATGTTCAGTTTCATGTTAACACGTTCAGTTTAATATCTACATGTTCAGCTTTATGTAAACATGTTCAGTTTAATATCTACATGTTCAGCTTCATGTAAACATGTTCAGTTTAATATCTACATGTTCAGTTTCATGTTAACATGTTCAGTTTAATATCTACATGTTCAGTTTAATATCTACATGTTCAGCTTCATGTTAACATGTTCTGTTTAATGTCATCATGTTCAGTTTAATATCAACATGTTCAGTTCAATATCTCAACATGTTCAGTTTAATATCTACATGTTCAGTTTAATATCAACATGTTCAGTTTCATGTAAACATGTTCAGTTTAATATCTACATGTTCAGCTTCATGTAAACATGTTCAGTTTAATATCTACATGTTCAGCTTCATGTAAACATGTTCAGTTTAATATCTACATATTCAGTTTCATGTAAACATGTTCAATTTAATATCAACATGTTCAGTTGAATATCAACATGTTTGAAAACTACATGTTCAGTGCAATGCTATCATGTTCACTTAAAAATCAACATGTTCATTGAATATCATCATGTTCATTGAATATCAACAGGTTCAGTTCAATATATTCATGTTCAGTTTAATATCTATATGATCAGTTCAATATCAGTTTATCATCAACATGTTTAGTGTAATTCAAGATTACTCAGAAACTTGAATATACTATACAAGAATAAATAAGGACTGATCCAATAGTATTAAAATGTTATTTTGCTTGATATGAAGCATGAGAATTTTGAAAAAAAGAGACAGAAATCCCTAAGAGCTTTCCTTGAGTGGTTTGGACTATTTTGAACTGATTTCTGTGAAACATTTAATTACTTCAACTATCCTAATTAATCATGAATGTCCCATAAATTAACATGGTAAAATTGCTCAAGTTCATTGCGTGCGATAGACCTTCCCAATCATACCCTCCTCCCCTTTATAGCACAAAAGAAGCTAGGATTAATTGGAGGCAGATTCATGATGTCATAGGATGTAGGAACTAATGTTACAATCAGTATTCTAAGAAGTTTTCAACAAAATTAACAATTAGTTTATCCTATTTCTGAACACTTACAATCTAAGAGATCATGAATCTTAGTCAATATATTTTGGTTTCATCCAGTGTGTGAAACATGGCAAAATTTATACTAAAGGTGACAAAAGTGAATCGATTGGTTATAGAAAACACTGATGGCTACAACGATTTGCCATGTAAAGTCCATTATACAAAACTGAAACACTGTTTATACTACTATCCCTTATGGTAAATGAGACCATTTTTTCTTTCCTAAAATATATATCACTTTATTAGTTTTACTTTGAATAATGAGATCATTCCCCTTTTATCAGTGACTGATTGCAAATTATTTACCGATGTTGATTTTTTTTGAAAATCACTTACCCATGTTGATGTTGACTGCAAATCACCTGGGTTGATTGATTGCAAATTATTAACCTGTATTGATTGATTGCAAATTATTAACCTGTATTGATTGATTGCACATTATTAACCTGTATTGATTGATTGCACATTATTAACCTGTATTGATTGATTGCAAATTATTAACCTGTATTGATTGATTGCAAATTATTTACCTGTATTGATTAAATGCAAATTATTTACCTGCATTGAATGATTGCAAATTATTTACCTGTATTGATTGATTGCAAATTATATACCTGTATTGATTGATTGCAAATTATCTACCTGTATTGATTGATTGCAAAATATTTACAGGTATTGAATGATTGCAAATTATTTACCTGTATTGATTGAATGCAAATTATTTACTAGTATTGATTGCAAAGTACTTACCTGTATTGATTGATTGCAAATTGAAGGGTTGTGGGCCTGCCTGGAACTCGGGTAGTTCTTTTCTACAAGGTAAGATAGGGACCAATTTAGGATCCCTCATCTCTGCAACTCTCGTCCTTGCTAACTGAGTACTGAAGTCCTTGCTATCTGAAGCTAGTTCTATGTTAACCTGAAAAGAGTTTAAGATGAACTTTAAGCTTAATATAAATATTCCTTGAGTCAACAATTCAGCTCTGCACATAAAATGGAATTTTTATAATGATTTTAATGTTATCAATTTTAAATTGGATCATTAAATTTAATATAATCACGATGCCCATGTCAAGCAGCGTGCCTACTAGGCACGCAGTTTGAAACTCTGACAAACTGCGCGCATATTTCAAAATGTGAGACGGGGAGGACACGACTCCCAAAAAGATCCAAAATACGAAAAATACAAGGTTAGTCTCGTTCTAAAGATAGTACCATTCTGTGAAGATGAACTTAATTTACTCATAATACTCAATGTTTTTCCCGATGTAAACCTAGTTATCTCAATATAAGGGTCTTAAGTAACTTCTGTGTTCAAAATTTACAGTGTAAAGTTATATCTATGTCTTTTTATCGTCATTTGCCATTTATTCAGCCATCGTGTCTGTGTATGCTAGAATATATAGGATCACTCCATCTGATTAAATCAGCAAAGTTTGTGTTCAAAACGATAATACGCCATAAACGTGATTTAAACATTTTTCTTGTCAAACTGCGCGCCTATATTCACATGTATTTCCCAAACTGCGCGCCTAATATTTCCAAACTGCTTGCCTATCCAAGCTTGTTTTGTATTATTAGAAAACATAAGCGCCATACAAGGCACATAGTCATATGTGTCTAATAGTAGAACCCCATAATTGAAACACTATGAGAGTCCATCCACCAAGATGGTGATCTGAAAATAAAAGTTTTTTTCGTTCCCAACTAATTGTCACTTCTATTATACATTTTGACTTTCAATTTGAAAATCTCATTAAATCTGACGATAAAGCAAAATTTCCAAAGCTACATGAAAAACACCTACACGTGCCTCTGTAGAAATTCCAATGATAATATGTAGTTTTAATAGTGTATGCGCACAGTTTGTAATTTCTGGCTAAAATAGGCGCGCAGTTTGTGGTTTATTTCTTTTTAATCTCCTGATTATCTGTTTTATCTCGAAATATTTTGAATTATACATGATAAATGTGTAAGGAATTAAATATAAAACGAGTCTAAAGTATTTGTCATTTATGTTTAAAGTGCAAGATCGATTTACGTATAAATTCCCGTTAAATCAGTGACGAAAATGCCATTAATCTGCTTATGTTTTAAAACTTAGATTCATTTGCACATAGTTTTTGCTAGTATTTCCAAGATTCGTTTATTCGCTACAGAATGAACGCATTGAACAAGAAAACAATGTAGGATAAATGTCTTTAAATTACGTTTCAAAATACAGACTCCAACTTTAATGATGCAATGTTCTTAGGCACGCAGTTTGTGATCGAAACAAACTGCGCGCCTAAGTAGGCGCGCAGCTTGACATGGGCACCGTGATAATGTTTTGATGTGCAAAATGCAGATTTTAGGACATCAAGACCAATAAGTATAGATTTTCATACTAAGAGGCCCTCAAAATTTTAAAAGAATCCCTTTGAACCTGTTTGTCACAGCTAGTTGAAACATAGCAAGATCGTAATTTCTTTCTATTTGTGCGATAAAAAAGAGACAAATATCGAGAATGCCTAACAGACTTAAAGCTGGACTGCGCTCCGAAACGCAATCTTGGGTTGTTTCGGAGGGTGAACTTTATCATTTTGAGCCTAATGAAAGATTATAGAATGATGAACAAATGGGGCAAATCTTGTGTAGAAATACTTACGATAAATGTGTCATTTCAAAGATTATTCATTGAATTGCTTCGATCGGCGCCGACGATATGATTTTGGAAAAGTTTCTAAATGAAGAACGTGACGTCACTTCCAAATCATAGCATTCAAAATAAGTAGCGTTTAATTACATCCAACATTCATAAGAAGACGGTGGTCTAGGGGTACAATTCTCGCTTAGCACACGGGTTCGAATCCCGCATTCGCCTTTTTATTTTTTTTAACTAAATGATTGTTCTTTGATATAACGCAGAAAAAAACAATTTTTATTTACATGAACTTTATATTAGAGCTTAAAAATGTAAAAACAATATATGTCAACATATTGCGTTTTGGAGCGATGTGCAGGTTTAAACAAATGTTACCTTGAGACATCCAATAATGTCCTTAGAGGCTCCATTACTACTACTGCTACTATTGCGTGACCTTGAGCTTGACCCCTGTAGCCTGACCTTGACTTCAAGGTCTTTCTCCAAGTGAAGGGTTTCTGCCTTTAGAACGGACTTTAGAGACATGAAACACGATCCAATCAAAGATGGCTGAAAATTAAATATGTTAAATAATACCCTGCTTTTGCTTTACTAATACATTGTATTAGACATATAAAACTTATAGAGATACACTCTTCAAATACACATCTGTTACCTATTGATACATTGGCAGACCTACATATTGGTATATATTGGCAAGATCGATGATGTCATATTTTACTAAGCAATCTCCCAGAAAAATAGGATAAGCTAAGTAAATAGTCAATCTTGGAGCATTGATTATTAACATTTAACTATTACCTGCAACCTAGAACATCATGAATCTCGCCAGTTTATTCAAGCTTCTATGATGTTATATGAAAGGTGACAGAGTTTATTGCAGGTCTAGTATGGTTTACATGTTTTATCATACATATAACTGTGTGTAAAACTTCTTTTTTTTGTATTTCGGTCATTGTACCTTTTGTTTGAAATGTAAAGTCGACTCTAAATGATATAGAAAATTGTGCAAAATACAACTGGCCTTTGTATAAAACTTAACTGTCAACTACCAATGCAATGCATAGATATTTACATCATTACCACAAGATGATTTTCTCATGATTTTTAATGAAGCATATCTTACAGTTTTCTGTCCTCTGGGCCTTGCAAATATCTTGAACACAAGAACTGATGTCCACCATTTCTCTATACTTGCTGCATTGAACATCACTGGGAATACTGATCTGTGATTGAAGCCAATTTCTGCAAAATATCATTATGATATAAAGTACAGTTTGTTAGTTGTGGGGACATAAAGTGTACGAGTGTCAGGAATAAGAGTGAATTCACATGACAAAGTGTCTTCACCTTATTGTTATAATAAAGTGTAACAACTCATTACAGATACTGATTACAGGTCATAAAAGCACTGTCTATGAAGAGTTGTTAAAATTTCTTGGCCATGAAAAAGAAAAATCACAATGATTGTTATATTATAGGCCAATTTTATATTTTATTTTCAAGTGGTGCAAGCCTATTTTCAAAATCATAAGTGGATGCAACACCCACTTGTTCCAATGCAAGAAGACCACTGCCATTTCATTCTTCAACTGGGTGTATGAGTAGTACATGTATATCAGAGTCTTTGTATTTATGTTAAAAGTAAGGAGTCTTATGCAGTGGGGATTTGCAGGTTCCGACAGCAAAATAATGGTAACTCTTTGAAGGTCTACGAGGGGTGATCAATAAGTAATGGAAAATTAAAGGAATTGGTCCATAAAAAGTATCTGTGTAAAAAAGCGTCCATTACTTATTGATCACCCCTCGTATATCTATGTGCATCTTGATAATCAAATTTCTAAAGTTGATAATGTGATACTTTACACAGTTCTTAATCTTCCGATTTGACTCACCATTTTCATTAACTTTCTTAGAAACAACTCTCATCACCTCTGTTGCCATGGTGTTAGGGGTGTATTTATCTCTTGATGTGGCAACAACTGGGAACTGGTATTCAACAAAATATGTACTGGAAAAGGTGAACATGTTAAAACATTGTATAATGTGCATACATATAGCATAATATAAAGTATTATATATAACACATGACTGAAATAGTTTTTTACAATATGCATCAATCATTCAAATTTGGCACACTTTTTATCATATCGACTAAATATTCTCAACCAAATGGCAATTCGAAGTTAATATAATATATGCTGCATTTCTCCTTCCTCCTTCCTCTTCCTCCTTAGATTGAGGCTTTCTAGAAAATCCATATAGAATCATAAAAAAAGGTTTTCATTTTAAAGTATCATTTAACCTTGTGTCATCTTAAGATTTGGCTCCTCAACTGGACATTTAACATATCTTTAATTTTGAATGGCTCATAGTCATATGTGAAAATACTTAAACATTCCATTTTTTTTCATTTTGAAAGAGACTTATATTATAAATGTTCTTTGTTACAAGGCAGTACCTATCTAAGATGTAGTCTAAATCTCACCATGTTTTAGTGCTTAGTTTAGGAGAGGGTCTTGGTGGCTTTCCTTTTAGCTTTGCTTTGGTTGGCTTTCCTCCTGGCAGGGTTAGATTTGGCACTTGTAGGAGATGAAGAAAATCAATATGGACCCTTCCAACATGAACCCTGCCTAGGAGGGTGAGACGTTCAACACTAAGACCATCTACCACATCAATGTGTACATCTGGAAATATCATTATGTAGATGATAAATGATAATAAGGTAAGTTTTATTTTATTATTACATGACATGATAACACTGTTTTTGTAAGCATTCCTCAGTTGAAATGCTCAATTGTCATTGGTTAACGGATGACATTTTCACAACTCAGCATCACGATATATTGTTGGTTTTGCATCACGATATATTGTTGGTTTTGGTAAGTAATATTAAAAAAAATTCTTCTTTATTGTCTTAACAATCGATAATTAAATTGGTGAGATGTTATTAAAACCAGTAATTGATCCTTTGTCAAACTTTAAAACACATTGTTGTTTTTCTTAGGGTTCATCCAGATTTTAATCATTTTTCTGTAATTTTTATATTATAATAATACAATCAATAAAGATTCATTAGAAATAACTATATGGCAGAATAAAGTGCCAGGCCATTCAGTTAATTCTCTCATCTAAAATTATATACAATACTCATTGCTTTAAATAAATTTCCACATGGTTTAAAACGAATTCAACATGGTTCATTTTCATTTTGTAGATCATGACAATATTTCTAATAATGATAATTAATTTACCATTTTCTTTATTTTCACTCTCTTCGATATCTGATGTCATATCAAATGACACCCTTGAACCCTGGGACATGACATCATCATCACTTGACATCGTAGACTGACGTGATTTATTTGAAGATCTCTTCTTGCGTTTAGATTTACCAGATTTCTTTTGTTGTGATTGCGACTGTTGTTGGTTTGTTGATGGGGGCTGATCGTGCGATGGTGGGGGGTAATCATGTGTGGGAGGGGTAATAGTGCCCAGACTTGATTTACGTGATGGGGGTCTCTGAAATTTTAACATAAAATTCATTCTGATGATCAGCTATTCAAATTTGTAGAGATGCTTGATCTATTGTGTTTGCATTGATCATCATCATTTAAATCAACTAAAATGGAACATTTGAGTTGTGTAACATTACATCATGTTATCTTGATTAGAACCCATCACAATTCTCAAGATTCTCAAAGACTGTGCTATCAGATAAGTACTTAATGACAACATAAAAGTACTCAATGTACTGTAAGACATCATACAGATGTTTTAGATTAGACTGCTCATTGATCTCATACAAATACTCAATAACACCATTCAAATTCTTCATAAAAGTACTTCATGATATCACTTATAAAGTACACACCATGTTCCCAGGATCCTCGAGTGACACTTGGCTCGCAGATCTCACAATAGGTGGCAGGTCCTGCTCAGCTGTCCTTGGAGTAATTTTCTTACGATGAGTCTCATCCCCACTGTTTTTATCACTTTCCTGAATAGTACAGAATGCAGCATTTCAACAAATATGTAAATAAAATGTTATTATTTGTAACTTGGATATTTGATCAGATATATTAATCCATATTTCAATAAATAAAACAAGGCATTAACATGCAAAATGTCACCACCTGCCATTTGTTATAGATGCTGACCTTCACCCGCCAAATGCCAGCCCCAGAACACTGATCACAGAAAAATTGGAGACAAAAACACTTGTGATGGTGACATAATGAAATAAGATTTGTAAGGGAAAGATTGGCATGTTACTAGAAAGGTTTGCTTTCAACATTTTTCACTAACTATCCCTTCTGCTTAGTTTTTTTAAAATCTAGAAGTGTATTATTATTTGCTCGGTTCATAGACCCCTTGTTATGTAACTTACACTTTGAGCATAGAAGAGATCTTCTAGCAGACTATCGTCATGTATGGGGTCCCCAAGGTCACTTGTGACGTCATCTCCTCCAGATATACTCTCTGGCAAACTATCCAAGTCTTCGTGAAGAGCAAACTCCTGGAAAATGAGAGTAAATATAAAGGTTATTCACTAGGGGGGATTGAATATGGATTTCATTTCTCGGGTCAGGAAATATGATATAGTCATTTATTCAATTTTTTTTTATTAAGAAATATTTATTGCTTCATAAAAATATCATAATATAAATCCCTTCAGTCGCCCGAAGGCATTATAGAAGGGTACATTAATAGCACAAAATACAAAATTATGATTAGGTCAAGGGGTTCACTCTGCACTTGTGGTTGGCCATGGGGTGGAAATATAAAATAAAGTATAGTATATATAGTATGTAGGGAGGGGAAAACGTTATAGGTTCATTTCAATGAATTCAGCGATTGAGGTTTGGAGATGTGAATTTAGATCAAGGGAAATATTGTCCGAGCCATGTTTCATTAAGTAAAGGAGATCATTCTGAGTTAAATGATTATCTGATAGTCCAGTTATATTAATAATATCAGTTTTTAATTTTGTTATCTTTTCTTTAATAAGGGGACACTGAAAGAAGAAGTGTTTTTCCGTCTGGGGGGCTCCACATTTACAGTTTGGATTCTCAACATAAGTGAAGTTGTGAGCATAAAGTTGGGCTTTGAAAAGAAGATCAGCTCTAAATTGGTTAATCAAAATTTCATGAGATCTTTTTAGATTGAGTTTGGAGGTGCTAATAAAACTTTCTTGGTTTTTAAACAAAATCTTTTGGTGTTTTTTAAAGGATTGGAGAGTATTCAAATTACGTAATCGTTTTGGTAGTCGTGACCAGTTTGATATTGCTGATGGAACTGATGAATTCAAGAACCTCTTTGAGCATATAAAAATAAATAAAATAAAAAAAAAAAATTTATTCAATGATGATCACCAATGTATTCTTGAAATCAAGTTCGTCAAGATCGGATATATTCTCTGGTAAATTATCTATGTTTCCATACAGTGCAAACTCTAAGACAATGACAGTACATATAGAAGAAATTTACGAGGAGAGGCTGAATTTTATTCCTCAGAATCAAAATATGTCCTTTATCAAATGTTGATTATGAATGGATCAATGAAATCGGGTTAGCCAGGAATGGATACACCCTTGAAATATTCACACATTTACTAACTTACTGTGAAATCATGAGCTGGTATATTGTCTCCAATGACAAGGTCAATAGTTCGACTGTCCAGGTCAGCTGATGCTACATCAGGCATATGTCCTTTGTCTCCTAGGATCTCCTTGAACAAGTTTCCAGCTGATCCCCTGTAAAATATTCATGTGTTAAATGATGGTGTTTCAAGCAATCTTATTGGCTCATGTAACACAAATCTATCCTCTATTTTCATAAAAGTACAGGACTGTCAGGGTGGTTCAAAATAGGAATCAGAACTTGAATATATGAAAAACAAGATATCCCAAAAAAATTTGATATCACTTTTATATTATCTTGGTTTCAAGATCAAAACATTAAATATAAAAAACCAACCTTTGTCCTGTTTTTGCATTTGTTGAACAGACCTCTGTTGTCATGGTTTGTTGCCTAGAAACAGGCTCCCCAACCTCTAATTCAGAATTAATAGCTGATTTTAACATTTTTGATCTTAATTCAGTCCCTCGATTCAAAAGTGTCGCAATCAGATCTTGTTGGTTGTTACTTGCTGTTGTTGTGTCCTTTTTGTCATCTAAATAAAAACATAAACTTATGCATCAATGATTTTGTAAAGAAAATTGCTACAAGATTCATGAAATGTAAATGCAATACAATACAAGTACTTTATGACATTATAAAAAACTTCACAATATCTCCAAAGTGCGCTACATACAAATTTTTAATATAAGTAACTGTTTAATTAGGCCGTAAAAAAGGTTTGAAGTTGTGCTTTATAACATGAACATAACAAGAGCATTTCTGAATTTTTCAATCATATCAGTAAATTCACAATCTTTTCTAGATATGTTTTATTTTTACAATACCAACCTCTGAATTTAGTTTGCATGCTTTTGTCCACATCAGACATTGAATCTGTAGCGTTAGTTGTAACAGTGCGTGTGGTTATATCAAGACCTGGCTGTGTATTAGTATGACTGACAAGATGACGTGTCTTTTCTGGTGTAGAGAGACAATCACTCAGCAACATGGACATTGGCCGTGATATGTCTGGAAGTTAAAATTCAGTAAATCAAAATTTCAATGAAAGTACAGTAAAACCTGTGTAAGTGGAACACCTTTGGAACCTCTAAAAAGTGTTCCACTTGTGAGGTGTTCAACTTATAGAGGTTCATTTAACATTAAGTTAGTTGGTCTTGGGACTCTGAAGTGTTCCACTTACAGAGGTGTTCCACTTCTAGGTGTTACACTTCACAGGTTTCACTGTATTAATATTATTGCATTCTGTGTTGTACCTAAAATACTGTAAAATTAATGTTAAAATGGTGGCCATTTTGAAACCAGCAGCCAATTTGAAAATTGGCTTTCAAGCAAAACATAGGGACAATTCCACAAACAAATGCTCTAATGTAATCCAATGGGAAAATATTGAAATCTTTGGATTGATTATGAAAATACGAGGATTTTCGGTGCATAACCCCATATACCACGGGATAGCTCCATATGTCCCCTTTCAAATCATAGATCACCCATTGAGAAAAAAAGATATGACCGTTCTTTCCGCCATCTATCCGACTTTTAAACAATTTTCAAAAGATTTCAAACTCAAGACCACCGTCACAAAAAGTCAAATATTTGAAGTGAACCGAATCATTTCGTCATACTTTTTGTAAAATTATATACACACAGGATAAACAAAATAAAATATAAAATCAATACATTTTCACTAGTGATTGCACTGATAAATATGGATTTCAATCAACCATCATCCCGATTTTAAATTTAGATTTTTTGTCTTCTACCTTTTCACTAGCGCCCTCTGTGGAGTTATCCCATAGGGCATATATGTATATAATATAATATGTATGTAATTTGATATTTTCCTCTGCTTACATCTACTGTACTGGCTACTGTGATCAGTTTGTTATCACGTTCACTATAGCAGTTAAAGCAGATGTCAGCAATTCAACATTATTAACATTTGGATCCTGTAGATCAGTTTGTTATCACGTTCACTAAAGCAGCTAAAGCAGATGTCAGCAATTCAACATTATTAACATTTGGATCCTGTAGATCAGTTTGTTATCACGTTCACAATAGCAGTTAAAGCAGATGTCAGCAATTCAACATTATTAACATTTGGATCCTGTAGATCAGTTTGTTATCACGTTCACTATAGCAGTTAAAGCAGATGTCAGCAATTCAACATTATTAACATTTGGATCCTGTAGATCAGTTTGTTATCACGTTCACAATAGCAGTTAAAGCAGATGTCAGCAATTCAACATTATTAACATTTGGATCCTGTAGATCAGTTTGTTATCACGTTCACAATAGCAGTTAAAGCAGATGTCAGCAATTCAACATTATTAACATTTGGATCCTGTAGATCAGTTTGTTATCACGTTCACAATAGCAGCTAAAGCAGATGTCAGCAATTCAACATTATTAACATTTGGATCCTGTAGATCAGTTTGTTATCACGTTCACAATAGCAGTTAAAGCAGATGTCAGCAATTCAACATTATTAACATTTGGATCCTGTAGATCAGTTTGTTATCACGTTCACTATAGCAGTTAAAGCAGATGTCAGCAATTCAACATTATTAACATTTGGATCCTGTAGATCAGTTTGTTATCACGTTCACAATAGCAGTTAAAGCAGATGTCAGCAATTCAACATTATTAACATTTGGATCCTGTAGATCAGTTTGTTATCACGTTCACTATAGCAGTTAAAGCAGATGTCAGCAATTCAACATTATTAACATTTGGATCCTGTAGATCAGTTTGTTATCACGTTCACAATAGCAGTTAAAGCAGATGTCAGCAATTCAACATTATTAACATTTGGATCCTGTAGATCAGTTTGTTATCACGTTCACTATAGCAGTTAAAGCAGATGTCAGCAATTCAACATTATTAACATTTGGATCCTGTAGATCAGTTTGTTATCACGTTCACAATAGCAGTTAAAGCAGATGTCAGCAATTCAACATTATTAACATTTGGATCCTGTAGATCAGTTTGTTATCACGTTCACAATAGCAGTTAAAGCAGATGTCAGCAATTCAACATTATTAACATTTGGATCCTGTAGATCAGTTTGTTATCACGTTCACAATAGCAGCTAAAGCAGATGTCAGCAATTCAACATTATTAACATTTGGATCCATACGATTTTACGATTATTCAAAAATTGCCCTCCCCGGGATTTTTTGTGTGGAGGATTTTGTTATTTTTTCATGCAACATTTTAGTATTTTGTCACTTTTTACAACATTTATGATTTTGTAATTTTTTGTACAGTAATTTACGATTTTGTAATTTTTTGTGCAACATTGTAGAATTTCCTTACTTTTTAAACTTCTGTTGAAAGCCCATGCTTTTTATTGTATTACTCATTGTGTAAATGATGCTACTTCACAAGTACAGTATTTACAGGAGCCTGTGACTTTAAGATAGGTGCTATTGACTTTTAATCATATTACCATGTCATGAGGAAGAAAAAGAAGCCTGCATACTTTGGTTGGGATGTTAAAGTCCGGGATTAAAGTGCTAGGCTTAGGAAATAAGCAATAGATTTTCAAACTAAATTAAATAGAATGTTCCTTCCGAAACGGATTTGCTTATAGATGCCTAAGACTCTTATCTCAAGGAAAGAATTCACAAATGAAGAAAAAGTTTTGCTATTATAGGTGGAGGGGTTTGTGTAAAAAACCGGGTGACCGGGTAGCCGGGTGGTCGGGTAAGGTAGGGTTACCAACTTTCAAAGTTGCCCATTTGTAAGAGACTGAATTTCGGAAGTCCTAGGTAGTTATTTACACAGTTTACACATACGATGACGTTAGTTGCTTGATTTATTGTCTGAGTGATTGACAGGATATCGATGATTGTTTTCTATGATTGCGATTTCTACTAGATATTAAAAAAATCTGGAAGATTTACGTACGCGTAAATTAAAACGTCATTTGCCTTTTTTATCTGTTAATTAGTGTACGATGTGCAATACAATTTTAGTTGCTTGATTTATTGCCTCACTGATTGACATTATATTAATTTAGTTGTCATTTTGCTGGTTGATTTATTGGTAAATAAATTTTGTTGCTTGTTTGGTTGTTTGCTTGATTGGTTGTGTCACTGGTACATTGATTGGGATGTCAGTTGGGCGTTTTGAGGCATAAAATGAAAAAATCAAATTCCTAACCCTGGTAGGAAGGTAGGGTACCCGGTCGCCCATCTACCTGGTTACCCATTTTTTACACACACCCGTCAATCTCTCAGTAAATACTTTTGCTGCATAATACCAGAATGTTTAAACTGGTTTACAGGAGGAACTTTTCTCTGATTGGTTGATTTTGCTGCTTTCTGATTAGATGAAAATATACTGCAACCCGATTGGTTAAAATAATGAATGAAAATATACTGTACCCCGATTGGATCAGATAATACAAAACATACTATCCCTGATTGGTTGTTATAATTCTGCAACTCAAAACCTAATTGGTTGAAACATACTGTACTCTGATTGGTTAAGTGAAAACCTGATTGGTTAAAATAATCAAAACCTGATTGGTTGAAATATTCAACCTTACCACGTGACCAATGCTTTCACTTCCGGTGACTATCTTACCACGTGACCTATGATGTTACTTCCGGTGGAAGTCGAACATGTGACCTATGACATCACTTCCGGTGGAAGTCGAACAAGTGACCTATGACGCTACTTCCAGTGGAAGTGGAAGTGAAACAGTGCCAGAAGGGGGGGGGGGTCTAAATGGACGCCATATACTACTCCTACGTGCTCCCTTGAACACCTGCCAATTTGAATGTTTTTGGCTGGTCCCATGGGTGTTCGGATTAGACAGGTTTCACTGTATATATATTAAATGCTATGAAAAGTCTCATTTGATTTTGGACTGGACATAGGAAGGATGGCAAAAATCTTCTCTGAGAGTCACCTCAGATGTATTACAATAACATCATTTATTGTAGCATGTATGGCTAAATTCTGGATTGGAAGTGTGTTTATTTTCAATGTATATTCACTGGCATTGAAACACACCTTCAACTACACACAGGGTGACGTTGATATGATGGCTGCCCTGCAACACTTTGGATTTCATTTTGCATTCCCAGCTGGGATAGTCCAGGATATGTTCGGACCTACGATTACATCATCCATTGGATTAATCCTAACATCTACAGGATACTTATTGTTATGGAGCTCAACAAAGAGTATCGAGTTTTACACTTCCAAACCAGGATTGTTAAAGTTATATTTCTTCATGATTGGACTTGGAGTGTCCTTCACATACATGGCAGCTTTGACGACCACTATAAGTAACTTCACCAGCAAACACCGTGTTCAGGCTTTAGCTATTCTGGAATCATTCATGGGAGTAGGTGCCTTTGCATTCTCCCTCTTATATGCTGTTGTTTTTACAAATGGCCACATATATGATGAACAGAACCAAAATTGGTCAGACTTTATAATGATGCTAACAATTGGTTCAAGTCTCGCAAACTGTTGCTGTGTTGCCTTTTTACGAATTGTCCCTCAGTCAGATGACAGTGATGGAGATAAAGAAATTGAAACCGCAGATGAGAATGATCTAAAGGATAACTTTAATGAAACTAGAGATGACTCGGAATCTACAGAACTTTTTCATCATGAAGATGCTGAAAGGAGCAATAAGCCCCCGATATACAGTGTGTCCCAAAAAAAAGGAAACCGGCAATAGATTGCTTATTTCTCAAATATGAATAATAATAGGAAAATTTCACAGCTACCATCTGATAGGTTATGATGTCCTTTTTCTTATGATACAAAAGGTGTTTATTTTTCTTCACGGATGACTGAGTTTTAAGAGATTTAAGTGACCATGTCAGAAATTGGTTTGTGCCACTTTTTCTGTCATGAATGGCTGAACAATGAGGGATTAAAATGGCTATGCAAGACATTGTCCTATTCGAAATACACATTTCTGAACAAGCATTCAACATAGCAAGTTCATGCAGCTGACCCAAGATCAAAGAGTATTTGTAATGCTCCTCCTCATTGTCAGATTATCGTTCGGGACAGATTAAGGGCGCTGTTCAACAGAAGAGTGATTGCTTTGAACCACGAGATTGAGTTCATCGAGATCCCCAGACCTGACACCCTGCGACTTCTCCCTTTTTGGGTTATCTCAAGGGTAAAGTCTTCACAACACCACCAAGAGACGTTGATGATCTAAGGGCCAGGATTGTCGCAGCAGTGGAGGATTTAAGGGGACAGAGAGACATCATCGGGGATGCCGTACGTGCGATGAGATCAAGGGCAGACATTTGCATTGAAAGGAATGGGGGTCATGTTGAAGGACACTGGGGTTAAAACAACTTTGAATGGACATTGGGATTTAAAAGGGGTGTTAAATATGATATGTGTAATTTTAATTGGAATAAATGAGTAAAAGAGTGATATCCTGATGTTTGTTGTTACTTATCACTTTGTTATGATGCTGAAATTGACTTGGCTGAAAGTGGTACAAACTCATTTCTGACATGGTCACTTAAATCCCTTATTACTCAGTCATCCGTGAAGGAAAATAGACAACTTTGGTATCATAAGAAAGAGGACATCATAATCTATCAGATGGTAGCTGTGAAATTTTCCTATTATTATTCATATTTGAGAAATAAGCAATCTATTGCCGGTTTCCTTTTTTTTGGGACACACTGTATAAACTGATCAAAGAAAGCTGGCTGGATTTCAAAAGGACTTTTATAACTAAAAACTTCCAAATAATGCTCTGGTTATCGAGTATTATCCCACAAGTAGGTTTTGTATATTTAATAAACATCACAGTAATCTTGAAATCTGCCGGACTTCAGTCATATAGTGGTATATTTACAATTCTGTGCCCAATCACAGAAATGTTAGCACGTGCTATACTAGCTGTGATTTCTCAATTGCTAAAGGGGAAGTTAAAGAAACCTATTCTTTTTCTTATTACCAACATGGGTTTTGTTGTAGGGCAAGGATTACTGATTAGTCTAGGCACTAACTTAACAGCATTACACATAACGAATATTGTCATGTCCATGGCTCGTTCATGCTCGTTTGTGCTTATTGTGGCAATATTAAGTGATATGTTTAGCAAAAAGAAATTTGGCCGTATTTGGGGATTCATTTTATTTGTTTCCACAATATTTAGTTTTTTATACCCAGCTATATTTGGAATAGTCTATGATGCACATACAAAAATTGGCAACGTAGATTGTTCTGGACTAGCCTGCACTCAACTTACATTTATATTCACCAGTGTGTTCACCTTTGGTGCTATTATATTGAATATTGTACTTATTATAGACACAATTCGTAAGACCTGATTTACTTAGGACACCATTCAAGTAAAAACACAAATGTGTACAACATGTCGCCACCAAGGCTTATCCTATAAACTGCAAATAAACTAATCACTTGAGAAAGGAAAATTTTAATGAAATAAAAGGTTTACTTTAATTTTTAATCTATTTTGAGGGTTTTTGTTTTAATTTTTTGAATACTTTTGGTCAACCAACCAAATTTTCCTTTGTATAACTATAATATTGAGAGGGCAAAGAAAATGTTGCATATACTTTTTTGTTCCAACAAGGTTGAGAAATATATTTCAATTCATGCTCAAGAATTGGTAGAAAGGAACAAAAAAACTGCATTGAAAATCAAAAAATGTTAACAAAAACAGTTATAAAAATATATTTAAATAGTTTTTGCATTAGATTGTTGTTAATCAGTGAGCATTACATAAAGGACAGTGTTTTTTTACAGAATGTTTTTAATAATTGGAGAAAACCAATGTTGAATTGTCTAACCAGGTTAAAAGATAGAATATGTTAGTTCTAGATATCATATTTGGTGGATTTACAGATTTGCATCTTGTATATATTTTGACAGTATCACAGTTCTAAATAGTATGTAAAAGTGCTTTAAAGTGACAGAATCAATATCATATGGCCTTCATCCACAGACAAGCTACTTATGTGTAATTGAAAATTAACAGTGGGATAATATTTCTGTACAATGTACATGTATATGGACTTGTTTTTTATTTGAAATTTTACATTATAATCTGTATACTTTATTTCAGCAGTTCTTAATTTGTCATTCCATTTGGATTATGTAATATGGAAATCAGACAACAGCAAAAGCAAAACTAGGTTGTAGCAAAGTCCATCAAACATCTGGTCATAAAGCAGTCAATTTGTAAGTGTCCAAGTACATGTATTGTAAAAAACTATGAAAAAATCGCTTATATTTCAACACAAGCCTTACATTATTTTTAATTGTTTTTCTTACTTCTCTAATCGCTACATTACTTTCTCAATGTTACCCTGTTTTTGAATGATGGCTTTAACATCTTTATATACGAGGGTTTATCATAAAGTTCTCATAATATATCTCAATTTTTTCTATTTTTCAATATATTCTAATGAAATTTTCATAGAATCTGCAGTATAGAATACTTTATTAATCTATCAACAAATATTTGGTATAACAGAAATATTAGATAAGTAATAGTTGCCATAGTAACCGGAAATCAAGGCACCCTGGGCATTTTTTTAACAAGAAGTTTACCTAGGTCCTGACTGGGCTGTTCTCTAACTGGTGGTTCATTGGTCAACTTCCTTGAGAACAGCTGATCATCCACTCCCCTTGGTGTACTTCTGGAAGAGTCTTCTGTTGGAGTACTTCTGGATGATCCCAGTCCTCTTGATGTAATTGATCCCTCTGTGCCCCTTTCTTGAGACAATCTGTAGGTCTGAAAAAATAAATTTGGATCATTTTCCAGCATTCATCATTTGGTAAATTATTTGTACACTGGATGCCATTCTTGCTTGGTATTTGAACTTATGTGCAACAGCTCATTCTAATTTGCACCAACTTTTTTTGTTCAAATGGTTATGGTTCAAACTAATTCTGACTCACTAAAGACGCACTCATTGTGTAAACTTGGATGGAAATGTGACCAAACTTCAAAAAAACTGATTTCATTATCTGAAATAGTCTAGTGTGTAAATATATGCTGTGGTCGCTTTTGCTCTGATCTACAACAAAGGCGCCTGGCCATTGAGTCTTTTGTTCAAAACTGAATGCAATTTTGAACACAAAATGCTCCTCCGCCGGGTGCAGGTACTGAAAATCAGAGCAAATGTGACCACTGCAATATTGAAAATGATTTATATCACAGCTACATTTCAAATAATTATTTTGATCTAATAATGGTCAAGAAGTGTACATAAATGATTGTGTGTAAAAATAATATTATCCACCTTCATTGGGGCATCAGTTGATGAACTTGGTCCTGACTTGGGTCCCCATGTCCTACTTGAAGTGGACCCTAAATCCTGATGGGACCTCAAACTCTGGAGGGACCTTGAGTCTGGGTTATCAGAATCACTCTGTGTCAGGCCTATACTCATATCAGTGGTAGGTATAGACCCCGAGCTGTCATAAGAACCTGGAAAACATTCAAAATCTTAAATAATGTGTGTACATAGGTATTATGATGAGATCAGATTTGTCAACAAACAATTGAAATAAGAGTTGTTCACAATCAAGTCCAAAACAGAGAACATCTTCCTACAGTATTTATTCATTACCCGTTTTTTGATGCTATAAGACAATCTTCCTCTAAAAAATTTCAGGTGGAAATATTAAAAATTATCAGTTTGGAGACAATATGTGGGAATTTATGGATAAACCTATGTTTTATGGATTTAATCAAACTTGGTAAAGCAATGCTACTTTGGTTTGAAAGTAAAAATTCTATACTCACTCATTACTGACTCTAATCCAACTGAAACTTGTAACTCTGCAAGTTTTTCACCAGATGGGGCAAACACGGGATATGCACTACAACACAGACACGTAGAGAGAATAAATATTGTGCAATATTTGTAGACCTTAAAACAAAAGCACCCCTTTCCTATTCGATGCTGATAGTTGATGCTCAATGCAATGTTTCATAGGATGTGTTTGTGCTATTGATTTTCTAAAGTATTCTATTAAACTCTTCTGGATTATCAAAATGCTAATATGTAATGAAATTTTTTTTTAATGATATATTCATCATCTCAATTTTAGAGCTTAAAACAAGGAAAGGCATTAGGGGGAAATGTATAACCTCTAGCTGGATTTGTTAACAACATGAAAAGTTCATTGTTAGTAGACTCACCCACTAATGGTCCTTGTAGGGGACAACAAGGATATTTCATCAACATGTGCTCTACCAACGGGTGATTTGGCCCCATCTAGGACTTCTAACAACAATGAACCCATGTCTACAAAAAAGGTTTGAAAAAATCATAGCAAAACCTGCAAAAATTAATATACGCAACTTTCAGTACCTTAAAAAGTGAATGTTGGTCAGAAAAAATGGTGACTTCTATATAATAAAAATGTTGTACATGGATCAGGAATCTATGGAGATATAACTGTAAAATTTTCCCCAGACTTTAACAAATTCTGTGAAACTTTCATCTATCTAAAAAACCTATGGACATTTCCACTACCTGTAAGATAAGTTGCAAACTGCTTAGGACCAGACCTGACAGCATATCTAGCAGTGGTCACACACTGAGATTTCTCAACTCTTTTACCACACAGGGGCCTGAAAATGAGGAATTAGACATTTTAAATAGGGAGAATATAAATCAGATTTAAAACTGGAAAAATAAAAAGTATTGAAAATGTAATATGTTAAGAACCTATGTAAGTGTAATTACACAAACGCAGAATGGATATTACAAAAGGAAGGTGAAAGGGAAGTTAGATGTCACAAATACAAAAAAATACAAAAACTGGCAAAAACCTAAAATGTAATATGTTAAGAATATATGAAGGTAATTATACAAAATGCAGAACTGATAGTAAAACAGGAAAGCAATACGAGAAAGTAAATTTTTGAAAAATATCAAGTTTGCATAAATACCTGAAATATGATCCATCCCCATCTTCTCCCCACCACAACACCCTGACATATGTGTCCTCTGGGGCCGTTTGGATGTTCCATGTTAACTCTTTTACGGATAACTTCAGGTAGCATCTCAACTGGCCTTCAACCTGGGGAGGTAGACCCGTGTGAACTCTCACATCTTCTCTCAACCCTGCAAAACAACAGAAGAAACATTAAAACTGTAAATAAAATGTGAGACCTGTATCTTGTTCTTCCACCTCTTTTCTAATGCACACCTGCAAAATGAATATTTTTATAAAAAAAATGATTTATAAAAACCTCCCAATTTGTATGTGCTTGATCATATTATTGTATTACAATTACAAATAATAGAACTATCTTGCCACTTGGCAAAAGTTATCATTGTCTGCTATCTATGGAAATAAATTGTGAAACAAAGTTCAAACCATTCCCCCAAAGAGATACAAATTATTCACAGAGGAGATTTTGAAGCAATGCAAGCTGATTATGACTGTGACAATGCTATAATATATTGCAAGACTTGTCATGACTGTGGTTAGGTTAAAGCCTGATATGACCGTAACAATGGTTGCAAGGCCTGTCATGACTGTGGTAGTGTTAAAGCACAACATGACCGTGATAATGGTTATATTAAGTGACATTTATTAGCATGAGAATACTGCAGCGCTTGCATTAGGTTAGAACATTTGTGAGTCCCAAGGACGCAATTTTTAAAAAAAAGTGTGTCCTTTGAAAAATAAAAAGTGTGTCCCCTATTTCTAGTCATATTTTCAGTTTTTGATTTCTTGCCGCGAATTCAAAACGGAAGTAAACGTTAAGCACGGACTGAATAAATGCATGTTCGTTCATTCGACAATGAATACATTTTATTTCATGAATAACCTAATATTTGTTTCTGAATAGGAAAAACTGTGGCGTGTCATGGTTTCAAATCTAAAAATAAACAAAGTCGAAAAAATTCGAGAGAATCATGATTGTTTGTAAATATTCAACATGTTGAGCCTTATTTACGATTCAAATAAAGGTGAGAGATCATAATTATTTGTTTTTGTTAGGTATCGTTGTAAACACATTGTAGTATTGACCTAAAAAAAATTTGAGTCCAAAAAACGGAAATATTTTCAATTTTTGCGTCCTCCAAATTATTTTTGAGTCCTTAACATGTATGGGACGCCGTTAATGCAAGCCCTGATACTGTAATGAAAAATGTCATCGTTTATCTACCTTAAATATGTAAATCTAGACTACTACTACTTTAACTCATAATTCATTTCCACAAACTATAATTCTAATCTCATTCAAGAGTCATATCAGGCTTTAACATTACCACGGTGATGACAGGCCTTACAACCATTGCCACGATCATTTAAGGCGTTAACATTACCACGGTCATGACAGGCCTTGCAATATAATATAGCATTGTCACAGTCATATCAGGCTTTAACATTACCACGGTCATGACACGCCTTGCAATATAGCATAGCACTGTCACGGTCAGGCTTTCACGATAACAATACCATGGTCATGGCATGATCCTTGCGAAACTTCAAAACACCTAATAACATGGTGACAGTTGTGCCAGGCATAAGTCTTGCAATAGATGCATGTGTTACAATGGCGAAAGTCTGATCAGACCTAGGATTTCAAGATGGAATCAGATCTTTATTTCAATAAATATTGCATAATGCCTCTGACAGTGACTACAACACATTTGTTCAAATATAAGCTAAATCTTGCAGTTTTCTAAACTGATACAAATTCCTGTCCTGAGTCTGGTCTATGCCGGAACTTCGATGAACCAACTTAGGGGGGCAAGTGGCCCCGTCTACACCTTACTCTATCAACCTGACTTCGATAAAATGTACAGCTGAACCTGAATGTACAGTAATCTACAACCATGAAAATGCCTAAATTGGGCTAGGCCTAGAAGATTTGTCTAGAGTAGAACTAAAGAAAATATTGATTCAAAACATAGGCTAAGGGTTAAGTAATAGTAAGCTGTATATAGAAGTACAGCTTACTATTACTAGGCTAATCCTTAGCCTAGAGTCCATTTCACTGCTTCATTTCGTCAGTAGAATGGCAAAAATAAGAAATTGGGAGACCATTGTGCAATAATATATGGAAAAGTATATTCATAATGTACATGAATGACATTTGTATATTTCAGATCTTTTAGTTTTTTGTGCAATAAGCCTGTGCCGTCTTGTAATTTGAAGAATTTCAGCCATGTTAATCTTGAAAATAACATGGCAGAGAAACATCCAAATATAAGAGGCCACACACTTTATAAGCCAAACTAGAAGCAATCCAAGATATACAAATGCCATTCATGTACATTATGAATATACTTTTCCATATATTATTGCACAATGGTCTCCCAATTTCTTATTTTTGCCGTTCTACTGACGAAATGAAGCAGTGAAATGGACTCTATGATTCAAAAAGTTGAGTAAATTATTATAACTTCCTTACCGCGTTTTTTGATCTTTTTAGATGTCTTCAATTTTTTCTTAACCATAATTAATGTAATATTCACACCAAAGAATGGATCAGATGTGGATACAGCATCGTGGAATACGCAAAATCGTATAAAATTCTGATCAAAATATTTTTATTTTGAGCGCCATTTTTATTCTCGTCCAAAGTCTCGTTTTCCGCGAGAGCTAAAACTGAAAAATCAAAAGTGGAAGTAGAATCTTTAATTCATCCAGTTTTCAGGTAATTATGATTTAAGATCAACATATATTATACTTTCATTGCATCACAATTTATGCCTACTCAAATATCGTAAATTTTACAAAGTGTTGACTTACTTCTATAACAAGTTTGTTTACCCTGAAACAAAATCAACCCAGCGATTCATTTCAATAAAATATTTTTCCAGTCGAGTTTTTATGACCACTGACCATAGCCCCTGACTGTGGTTCAGGTTGACTACAGATGATCAACATTTCCTCAAGAGAAAACCTGTAATGCGCTTCATTTAGACCTTCACTATGACAGACAATACCAAAGAAGAGGAAAAGGGAAGAACATGTTTCCCGCTGATTTATCTAGGAAATACAACATTGGATAGGCGATATACACAGCAAATGCTACCATGGATTATGTCGGAAATCAGACGTAAAAGAGAGTTCATCGAAATCGATCTCCACATACTTCACAATTGGCAATGTCTGAAAGCTGTGACGTTAGATAGTGACATCTTATTTGAACACCAATTACATAGTCTTTCAAGGTTTGCCAGAATGCAAAATGACCAGACTATATTTGCATATCTCATGAGGTCAAATGTAGATGCACCATTTTCCTGCCACGTCTTTCAAGTTTCTGGGGAACATATGGTGAGTGTTTATTTCTAGTTTACAGCAGTCCCCGCCCTAGTCCGCACCCAAAAGACTAAAAGTCAATCAAGCTTATGTTCTGTCCTGTGGGAATTGCAGAGAAATTCTTTGCACAAAAATATCAATTATAAGAAGCTTCACTTCCCAAAAATAAACACTATAACTATTCAATTAAGTAGTAAGGTGCAATTAAATGCTATATTTGACCATACAAATACGTCTCCGTACTCTATTATTTTCATGCAATAATTACTCAGATGCGAGTAGGTAGTAACCAGTTTCGCCACCAGTTACCAGTTTCGCCACCAGGTGGCTAATTCGGGGAAATAACATGGCAGGGTATTACAAAGTTTTCTAAAACATGAATATTCTTCAGTTTTAGTGGTTCACTTTTCATATTGCCCTGATATATGTGATAGTTATACAAATTAAAATATGTCCACTAAAAGAAAATATTATCTGCCCAACACATGAAAAGATATTTCACTTTTTGTGATTTTACAACATGGGGTCTATGGGGTCACATTTCAAAGAAAATTCAATTTTCAAAGTTGATAATTTCTAGATGTAACTTCTAGACTCCCAGGTATTACCATTTTCAAGATTTGCTACTTGGGTGACAGGATAATCAATCAGGTATCTCCCAGATAATTTAAGTTGACTATCTCATCACACTAATATGTAAGAATACTTTATAATGTTTATGAGGACCTTGTAAAGATAATATTCATTATAATAATATTTACACAAGTTAGTACAATCTGTAATGTAGGGACATATACATGGCCATCATTTTTGTCTAAGTCACTTAAACACGTTGGGATGCAGTTTAGTACACTAACTTTCCAAATTACTGTACCCTTTGCATTCGTTTGACTTCACTTCTTGAAAGAGAGCTTCGTCTTCACTCTTTCAAACTAAAATAAACCTATGAACTCACCGCGCCAATCAGTGTTTGTCGGCCAATTTTGACCGACGTTCTTTATATGGTCATTCCTTCTGACGTCATCGTTGAGTCCGGAATTGACCAATGACATGCGCATAATTAATTAGAACGCATTTGGCAGATGTTTCTTCAAGCTCGCTGATTGGTGGAAGGTCAGCGCGTAGGTCAAAAGTGATTTACCCAAACTGTCACCGGTACCCGTCGTGGGGGTGGGGCTACTAAACTGTAATATGGTCTCTACTAGGCAGAGTGTAGTTTAACTAGACTCTGAACGCAGGGTAAATTACTTTTATCCTGAGTGAAAATGCACAAAGTCCTGAACACTTTGAGACTAAGTTCAGAATACTTTCCTGGACATAGTTATTTTGAAGAGCGAAATACAGAAAAGTCAAGATATTTATATTATATTCTCAGATAAATATCATTAAAGAAGTGGTTATTATTGTTTTATAATATAAATATCCTTTCTCATCCTTGGTCTATGGGTATTTCACTTCTTTCCAATTTATTTTCCATAAATGAAGTCCTTTCTTGATGTCAACCTCTCACACTGAAGACCATGGTACAATGGTATATTTTGTAATCATTTTAACAGAAATAACAGGAAAATACCATGAGTATCAGAGCCTCATGCATTCATTTTTTCATGTCATGAAGCTCTCTTTTAAGGTGGCAATACCAAACTATTATAAAGGTAAAAATAGGAAACAATACTGTAAATACACACAACATAGTCACTATATACCAGGCACTGTTATCTGATATTGTAATGTAATGTCCTCAATAAATACCAGATCTATTGCTTTGTTTAAAATTGATGGTTAACCAGTTTTTATCTGTTGTTCAGATTAACATATGCATTGTACATATTACTTTGCAACTCCCATCAATATTCATAAACTGGTAGTTATATGAAATCAAGAAAAACAGATACAGTTGAACCTGTATAAGTATAATACTCTAGCTACAAAAGATGCTCTACTTGGGTGTTCCTGTTATGGAGGTTCATTGGTGGGTCACTAGACATTTAAGGTGTTCTACTGCAAGGTGTTCTACTTACAGAGGTGTTCTACTTGACAGGTTTTACTGTAGTTGACCTTAGATTGCTCTTATTCAATCAATATTCAAATACTATTAAATTTTAGGTAGGCTAAGCAGCATTAACAATCTAGCTAAATAGCAAGATTAACATTATCAGGCATGTCTAAAATATTCTACCAGAGCTACCTTAATGAAGGTTTACACATCAAATGCTTGTATTGTTTAACCCTGAAGCTAAGATACTAGATTTTTACTCTATGATTTGGACAAATATCAAATTTTGATCCTGAAAAGATCTTTCATCCTCCGATTACAAGGCTTCAAAATCCAGAATATATTCTTTCTTTTTACCCCCTGCGATAAGCAGTTAGCATTTTCCCGATTACATACTCGCCATCTGATTGGCTGTCGCAACACTGCGACAGAAATCATGCAAAAGTCATTGCGCATAATTAAATCATGTGATTCAGTTTAATCGGGCGCTTCCAAATTGGTTATAGCAGGGGGAAGAAGGAGGTACGGATTCTGGATACTTAGGAGGATGAAGATCTTTAGACCCCAAATCTAGCTGTTCTATTGAATGTGTGTTATATGTTATGGCCTTCCCTAGAAGATCGGAAATGAAGTAATAGCTGGTATACTAGTTTCTGCTTTGGACAAATATCCAGTTTGAAGTTTGAAAATATCTTTACTAACCCTGAATGCACCTTTCATGGCCTCTACTGTAGATGAACATTACGAAGTAAAGCTAGATTTTGATTGACTTATTCTGATTATGTAAGACCAGATCAAACGATAATCCAAATAGTGTAGTGGATGAAGCTTTCATTTAATCAATCAATCAAAATTAAATTATTTTCATTAATATATATACCTTTTATTATTTTAGGTAAAGATAATAATCAGACTTATTCATTGGCAAATCTTCTTATTTTTGAGTACGATGCACTCAGAATGCATTGAGATAATATTGGCTTATGGATGTTTTTGTTACATGTATTGTGCATATGTATTTGTTATCTGTAAAGGTCACTTTTTATGAGAACAATACTTTAGGTCCTTCACCCATCAGATATGTCTCTTATTTTGACATTGAAATGTCCATTTATCACCTGACTGATTATTTCAAATAAAATTATTCATAAATTATCTTTTTGATGTTCTTTTCTGTAGTTGCGCCAAGAATTTCGTCTTAAGTGTGTGTAAATTAAAATTCTTATTTTTACAATTCTTCTCAAAAATGGTCAAAATCTGCCAATTTTAAGTTCAGTGAGTGCAAATTGGTGTAAAGTATGTGCAAGCCTTTTCAAAATCTCAAATTGGAACGTTCAAAACAATATTGTAAAAAAGTGTCCTTCATCTGAGTTGTATTTATTTGGAAAGTGCTTTTAGTCAAAACAAATTTTGCAAGTGAAAAACAAAATTAAAAATGAATGTTGTCACTTTTTTGCTTGACATTTTGCTCCATCATCTCAAAACCATTGTCTCATGGGATCAGCCTGCGGCTTCGGGAATAGTATATTTTAGAAGATATTCCCTTGAGGAAATAATTTACACTATTGCTGGAAATTAGGCAGTCACTATTTCAAATGTATATTCCCACTGACATCACATTTGAGGGAATATAACTTTTGGAAGGAAATAGTAAATCTGTTTCGGAACACGTGACTAGGTATTGACCAATCAGGATTAGTGTTACAAATTGGGTAGAAATAAATATCATACTATTATTATACACAATACAAATATGTTTTATATGGAAAGCTAAATATGCCATGAGTTTGAGGTTAATACATGTTTAATCTATATTTTCAAGTTTGGAATTTTAAGTGGCAATCTGTTTAAATACATTAGTAAAGACCAATTTTGAGGCCTTTCCCCTTTCTCCTAACATGGACTCATTGTGTACAATCTTCTATCTTCTTAGACCCTTTTTAATACACTCCTGATATTGCATTGGTCCAAGACACATTTTATATGAAATAGCAGTCTGATCACAGGTTCAAATTCAGAGAAATTGAATGTTCCATTTCAATGAAGGAGATTAAAAAAACACAATGACTCCCCACATAATGGATGGAGGGAGATCATACTAGAATGAAAATGCAGTCCTTTTAAATACAAGTCAGAAAAAGCATTTGGATTAGAAAAACTCACATCTGAGCACCTAGTTTTTTGCAGCATTAATGGGCAAACCCAAAAGGGAGAAAGCTTGTTCAGTCTCAGTTAAGAATGGAAAGTTATGTTGCCATAGATTTGTTCCAATACTACTGTACTTTTAATCTGCC